TGTCCCGTTCCTGCCGCCCGGGGGCTCCAAGGCCGCTGCCCCGCAGGCCCCAGGACGCTCGCCGCCCGCCCTGGGCCGCCAGAAGCGCAGCGAGAGCGTCTCCACGTCCGGTAATCAGGCTCGCGCTTCCCGCTCCTGCCCCCGATCGCCGCAGCCTCGAACCGCTCAGGGCTAACACCCATCGCCCCAATGCGTCCCCACCCCCAGCATCTCAGATCTAAGGAAAGCCGGGACTCCAGAGTGAGGCCCGGTCGGGACAGGTGTATTCGCGCCGCCGCGCTGCCTGCCCCTGCTGGATCCCAAATCCCTGTCTCTCCTCCGGGATCCGGTTCCCCTACGCTGCGGGGACCACCACCCGGGTCCTCATCCAACCCTGTGATGAGACCCTGGGGGTCTCGGCGCCCCAGCAGCTGTCTCTCTAGGGCCTTTTCCCCAGCGACCGGCGCGAGTCTCGGCCTCTGGGCACGACGTGGGTTGGGAAGGCCGGGGCCTGTCTTGTTCACCAGCAGCACAGAAACCGGTACCCCGCGGGCGCGCGAAGGTTTGCAGAACGCATTGAATGATTGACGCTGCCTTGAGAGCGCGGGGCCGCCAAGCCCGGGAACTGTCCGCTTCTCGAGGTGCTGAAAAGGGACTCCCGGGTACCGCGCTCATCTGCTCGCGCCTCCGCGTCCTCCCAGCCCACGCACGTGAGAAAGGAAGCAACCTTGCCCATTCCATTGTAGTGAGGCTCAGCGTTTTGTTCGGATCCCACCCATTTCCTCAAAGAAGTCGAGGTGGATTATGGGGGAAGAGAAGGAAGCAATGACATTCTATAGGGGACAAGGACCAAGAAACTGAAGGGTTTGGGTTGTGGGGGGAAGAAAGGTAGAATTAAACAAGAAAAACGGACCTAGAGAAACTATGTTGTAGAGCGTAGAGCTGAGCCTCCAGGCAGCCAAGGCAAAAAGAGTGCAGTGGTGCTCACTGGTGATAAAGGCAAGCATACCAGGTGAGCAGGCAGGGAGCTTAAACTCTGCTTTAAAAGAACTTTATTTCATGAAACCTCCTATTAGTTGTTTCACTAAAAATGCAAAACCCACCTTCATGGGATGGGTTCTTTCTTCCACGAACACTGATAAAACGAAGGCAAATGCAACTAAATCCTACCCTGTGTGGGTATTTCTGGAAGAGGTAGAGCAGAGCTGTCCAATAAAAATACCACGTGACTGGTGTTTGATGAAAATTTCTCACGGTCACATTAAAAAGGAAGAAGAAACAGGTGAAATTATTTTAGATACTATATTTGAATCCAATACATGCAAATATTATCATTTTGCGTGTAATCAATACAAAAATATTTTACTTTGGGTGGATACTGAGTCTCCTAAATCCACTGAGTATTTTACACTTACAGCAGGTCTCGAACTGACTAGACACATTTCACGTGTTCAATAACGTTATGTGTCTAATGCCTACCAGGTTGGACAGCACAACATAGAATGTTATAATCCAAGCATACAGTTTTCTGGTGAGTTAATTGATGTAGGAATAAAACTAGTTTACTGTATTATATTTGACTTTATTCATTCATTTTTTAAATATTTTGAGACAATTATGCTTTTTAACAATGAACCTGACAATATTTTGGTCTTCTAACCTTCCTTTCCCTCTGAATCTTTTGATATAATGAACATAAGAAGATAAAGTACAGTTAGAGTGATTCTTAAGATTTTTCAAGTACATCAATGAATCATCTGGGTAAGCTTGTTAAGAATGAGTTTCCTGGATTCCACCTCCAGAGATTCTGAACTGGTACATCAGGACAGGGATGCAGTTCTGACAAGGATTCTGGTGTCACAAACCTCAGCCCTCCCCCTCAAAAACGTTGGTATAGAGGAGGAGGTTGGAGGCAGCGGGAGGAGGATGAATTTGGAGGCTGTGTGGGGATAGAAAATGCAATTAGTGGCCAAGTAGCTTTGGCTTCACACAATCTGGGATTTGAATCCCAACTTCACCATTTACTACCTGTGTGATCATGGTCAAGTTGCTTAATCTCTCTGTGCCTCAGTTTCATCATCTGTACAAATAGGATAATAACAGCAGCTACTTTGGAGTTTTTTATTTTATGAAGAGTAAGTGAGATGATGCACGTACAATTCCAACACAGTGCCTGGAGTCTAGCCACTGCTAAGAACGCCAGCTTGATTTTTCAAATACTCACATTTCCAGTGGGTTCATGACTTCAATCCTCACATTAAAATCCAAGAAGTAAAGTGGGAAAGTATGTTCACCTGTGAAGTCCTCTTCTCATTGTCCTAACAGATGAGGACAGCCCATCTGAAGACAAAGGTGACCTGAAGGTGTCCCCCACCCTGGGCAAGAGGAAGAAGCGGCGGCACAGGTACAAGACCAGGGTGTTGTCTCTGACCCCCTGTCTCCGGGCACAGCCTCAGTGTTTATGGGACCAGCATCTGAGAATTTAAGGCCCTGGGTTATGGCTGGCCAAGTGGCCTCCGGGTTGGCAGTGGGAAGAACACAACAGCTATTTGGGGAGATAGTTCTGCAATTCCCAGGAGGCTGCAGGACAATCTTTGTAGCATTTTAAAGACACAATTTTGTGGGACTATAAATGAGAATGAGTGGATGGAATTCATTAAGAAAGAGTTAAAAAACTGTTTTGTTTGAACCAAATGTCTGGGCTTTCCAGAGGCTAATTATTCAGAGGTGGGGTATCCAGCTATCATGAGGTGGCTTTTGGGGTGTGGACAGCAGGGGAGGCAGGCACATGGGCCTTAAGGCTGGGAAGCCCAGCTAGCCCCTGTGGACATGTGCCCGTGTGTGTGTTTTGGGCTCTGGCAGGACAGTTTTCACTGCTCACCAGCTGGAAGAGCTGGAGAAGGCATTCAGCGAGGCCCACTACCCTGACGTGTATGCCCGGGAAATGCTGGCTGTGAAAACCGAGCTACCCGAGGACCGAATACAGGTGTCTGGGGTCCCCTTTCTCCTTCCCAAAGATTCCACGGAGAACATGTCACTCCACACACAGTGAGCCAACCCACAGTCACTTCTAAAGAGCCCAAGACCTTCCCCTTGACATGAAAACTGAGGGTCACTTAGTGGAAGGCACCATGAGAGGATAGCCCTGTGACCCTCATGCCTTTTCCCCTTTTATTATTTATTATTAAATAATACTTAAAAATTACACAATAATGTATACTGCAGCTAGAAACTATATAAAGATATATGGATATAAAAAAAGACTATCTCTCAACTGCCAACCCTCAAAGAGACCAACTTAAGTAGCCTGATGTGACTTTTCTGCACTTTGTGCTGTCTCCTTGTCACCTATATCTATGTCTACATCATCTGTGTCCATGTCTATCTGGCCTTGAATACCTACGTGCATATATGTATATATATATTCATGCACACACACATATATATACTCATGTACACACAGAATTTTGTTCTTTGTTTTGTCAGAAGATATGTCACTAACTCTCTTTTTTAACAACTGCACCATATTCCATAACATTCTTTTGTTAACATGTGATTTGTCATGAGAAATATCACCAGCAATCTGACAACCTAAGATCAGAAGAGGCATTGCCCCAGCCAACTCTTTCCCATCAGTGACAGACAGGACAGTTGGCCTCTTTCCACCACGTGGGGAAAGTACTTTGCATTTTTTGCATTCCTGACTCTATGGAAAATGTCACTGGAAACTGGTCAGGCTTTATGCCCACAACACTGTATCCCTGTGGCTTTGGGGGACCTAGGCACAGCTCCTCAAGGTTCTAGGAACTCTCCCCTCCTTCGGGATGAACAGTTGACTCTTGAGGAGAACTGCCCGTTCGGGTACCCCACACCAGCTCCTCGAAGCGTCCCTCTTCACTGTGTCTCTTCCTGCGTGTCCTTCTCTTCTCTTCCTGCCTCACACCAGGTCTGGTTTCAAAACCGGAGGGCCAAGTGGCGCAAGCGGGAGAAGCGCTGGGGCGGCAGCAGCCTGATGGCCGAGTACGGGCTGTACGGGGCCATGGTACGGCACTGCATCCCGCTGCCCGACTCCGTGCTCAACGCGGCCGAGGGTGGCCTGCTGGGCTCCTGTGCGCCCTGGCTCCTGGGTAAGGAAGAGGGCCCTGCAGCCAGCGCGTGCCAGAGATGCGGGCAGGGGCACTAGGGCAGCCATTGGCAAAGCAAGGGCAATTTACTCAGATTCAGGCCCAGAATCTCACATCTGATTTCTGATTAATTACAAAGCATGGACAATCTAGACTATTGCCTTATTTTTCACTGGAATTGTGTAGACAGTGTGTGGAAAGGTGCTATCGGGCTATTTACATTGGTAAGTGTGTATTTGGGATGTAAGAGTGGAACATACTTGCATTATGTAAAATATATGTTTCCCAAGTGTGGAGTGCTATTAGAATTTTTAGAAACCAGACAATTTAGGGTACATGGTAATAGGAAATAGGGCAGTGCAGAGCAGTGAAACCTAGAGACAGTTAACCCCCTACATTCCAGTCAGGAGGTCTGGTCCCTGGTCCTATTTCTGCCATTTACAACCTACTGCGTAGCTTTTCTGTCCCTTAGGTTTTCAGTGCTGAAACAGTCTCTGCTGGTGAGGTCCAAACTTCGGGGCTGGGCATTCCCAGGAGGCACCACCCTTATTGCTCTGTTTGCTGTTGTCAGAGGGCAGTGGGCAGGACCACAGTTTGGAGGAAAGAGTCACAAGATGGCATGGTGGGAGATTGATTAGGGGACTCATGGTGACTTTTAGGTTGGGAAGGAGGATATTGTTCAGCAAGCAATTTTTGAACACCTACCCACCAGGCACTTTGCTGGGGACTGGAGGTACTAAGTGCAAACACAGTCTTGACTCTGCCCTCAAGGACCAGAGACTAGAGAGAACTATGGAATTACATGAGAAGGTGGGGGAGGGGACAGTGCCCCAGCATCTGCAGGACTGTAGCCATTCGAGAAAGTGAGCTAAATGCTGAGTCACTGGGTCATCCTAACCAAGCACCTGTACTGGATGTGACCAGCGAGCAGACACCAGTTTTCAGCCCCCGATGGTGAGAATTATCTACCTGACTCTCCTGTAGGCCCAGAGATATGCACCAACAAGAAAAATTCTAATGGGATTTAGAGAACAAGAAGAAGAAAGAAATTTACTTAATTGCTGACCTTAAAGATAGCTATTTTCCTTTTTCCTTTTTCCTTTTTCTTTTTTGCAAGGAATGCATAAAAAATCCATGGGGATGATAAGGAAACCAGGAAGTGAAGACAAGTTAGCAGGACTCTGGTGCTCTGACCAGCTCAAAGAAGGTTCTAGCCAGAGTCAGGCAGGA